AGAGGTGAAGGAAATTGCCAGGAAAGAATTTGGATTTGAATATGGACAAGAAGAAGTAAAGTTTTTTTTATTCAAAATATAGTTATTTTTTATTTTTACTCGTGAAAATATTAAGCTATATGGAATTCTATGGTCATTTTAGGTTTATTTAAGACTGGTTGTAAGTTCTTTAGTTACGCACGCGATCTCTAGGAGATGGCGTTAAAACTTTAATGCTTTTTCAATGGGAAAACCATTTTCCAAAAATTCTCAAAAACAAATAGAAAAGCAAATAGAACCAATCGGATTTTTAATTTATAATCCTATTTAATTCTTCTGCTAATGTACGGTTCAAAATTTTAAAAATCGAATTCGTTAATTCTCTGCAATTTAAAAAAAAATTACAGAAAATTAACGAATCCGACTTATAAAATTGCGAACCGTGCATTGATAGAAGAATTAAATAGAATTCTAATGCGAAAACCTACTTGATTCTACCTTCTTCCGTTTTCGAGAAGTTTTGGAAAAGGATTTTTCGTAGAAAAAGCATTAAATTTTTAACGTCATCCGCTGGAAACCATAGAACCAGATAGCTGACACCCATAGACTCTATGGTAATCGGTCCTAGGATTATAGCACCCTGACCGGAAACTGGCAGAATCAGTCTATTCAATGTCTATTGTCAATATTTAGAGCTATTTCATTAAAAGCGTTTAGTGGAATAGCAGTAAATATTTTTGTTTTTTATACAATATATTAATTTTGATTTTAATTACAAAATTAAAATTATTACATTGTATAAAAATTATATTATATGGCGAATTTACTGGTCAATAGTAAAACAAGCAAAATGGCATCCTTAATTAATTTGATAATTATATACTGTACAAGGGAGGTACTGTACATATTATTTTCTGTTAATAGACTATAAGTAGAAAATATAGCTAATAAGCGTGATATTGACTTTAACTTTTATAAATCTAAGCATCTTTAATTCATCTTTTTCCTATTATTAGATAATATACCAAAATGTCAAGTTATTTCAATTCAAATATTATCTCCTGAACGGTGTTACATATATGGCTGGCATGACTCCACTGTTAACAAGAAAAGTATGATTTACAGGGGCAAACACTACTAAAATTGAGAGCCTTATGATGATGCAATTATTTATTGCATCATCATAAGGCTCTCAATTTTAATACCGTTTTAACGTAATAATAAATTAAAATGTATGATTTATATTATTTATAAATTACTTTAATTTATTTAATTAATTATCATTATTCGATATTTAAAATAATTACACAATGAAAAATGATAGATATCATTTTCAGTTCATTAGAATAAATTATATGTTTTAATCTCTTATTACGTGAAACTATATTAAACATTTTATAAAATAAAAATATTTTTCTTAGAGATTTATATATTTATACTAATTAGTTACATTAAAACATAAAATATTTTTTAATTTTAAATATGGGTAAAAATGTATTGTTTAACATTTGTTAATTAACCTAACATTTGTTTACAGAGAGAGTTTTTTTCTACCCTAGCTGCTAATTACAGTAATTTTAAGAAAGAAACTTTAAAAGTTCATTCTAAAATTATCTTAAACTTTAATTTTTTAAATGAATTACAATTAAATATTAAGAAAAAATATACGAAAACAATAAGTCTATAGTAAAATTATATTAACTCAATTAAAGAAGCAAACATAATTGAAATTTAATTCACAATTCTTTATTTTTATGTACGAATCGAATCAATAATAAAGAACAATAACTTACTTATGTAACCTTGGGAAAAGGTTATATAAGTATTGCTTTTTGGTTTATTGAAATTCAATCTGTGGATTAAAGGGGGAAAAGAAATCTGAAATGACATAGAAAGGGAGGGGTTTTGACCAACAGGATGATTGAAACATCGAAAAAGTGGTTTAGAAGTTGGAAGAATTACACAAGTTTAGTAAATTACTGAATGATAACCTGTGGCAGAAAAGAAAAAATTGGTTTACAAACGTATTCTGAAGAAAAATATAGCAGTAATTCTCGCTTACAAATGCAGAACTAATGTAATGAGAATATATTTAAATTTTATTAAGATCTAAACTATTTAAAAATTTATTTAAATAATTATAAATATAAAGTCAAAAATGTAAGGTGTTTAATTGTTGAGTCGATACAAGAACGTAACACGTGTAAAAATAAAAAAAAATTAACTATTATAATTATAAGAAAAACCTTTAATAAAGTCTTATAAATTAGTTTTAAAAGCATTATAAAGATTTTTATAATATATATCAAGTTATAAATACATTCAAGTTAATCATATCTTCATAAAGAATATATCTGGCTTGAACAGACTGATGCATATGAATCCCAAAATTGAATTGTGGAAGTCGATTTTCATATAAACAAATATAATCATATAGTAAACTAAGTCCACATATATTAATAATCGAATAATAACGCAGTATTAATTTCAGGCTTGTTAAATACGTAAAATTATTGTATAATTTGAATGAAAAATAGGCGATTAAGTTGCCATCTTATATTAAATTTAATAAATAATAGAATTAAATTAATTAATTTGAAATATTCTAGAAGAAAAATCGATCCTGCTCAAACATGGCAATAAATCCGGCGTTATCATTTGATTATAAATACAAACGATTAAAAATATAAACTTCTCTTTCATCAATATATTTTCGTTGTGTCACTATCAAATAAATTTAAAAATTACTTATTTATTTATTAAAACACATTATTATATAGAAACTTAGTGAATAGAATTGAAAAGTATACTTATCTGCTCTATTGTAGTAGTAGTTTATCAGGCTGAACTCAGTACATACGTCAATCAAAAAGTTAAAAAAAATGTTTAGATATACTAAAAATATTCAGTTATTCAGCCGAATAAAATCAAAATTTCAAATATAAAATATAATATAAAAGCAAACATATACATTCTTTACTGTATGATCTCAAAACAACAATCCTATTTTATGTTATAAAATTTTATAATGTCGTATTTTTCTTATCTGATGGTCAGAAATACATGATATTGCAAGTAATATGAGACCGTAAAAATATAGTAATGTTGCGTGAATGAAATATTATCTAATATGATATTCGAATATATAATTTAAACTCAAACATAATATTTTGGATCATATAAAAGCACAGTATAAATTTATATCTTCCAGTGTCTGCTTATATAACTGGCGAGTTATTGCAAGTGTCTGCTTTTCTTCAAATGGCTGTTAGAAAATAATGCTGTATTTTATGCGTGATTTCACTGAAAAAATATTAAAATACAAATATTTGCTTGTTATTTTTTTTATTTCTTTTCATTTTAAGATCTCCTGAATCCTGAAAAGTTAAAAAATGGCAAAAAATTTCGTGGATCTATTGTTTGGGAATATATATGCGTGTAATGGCGTCAATTTCGTTTAATATATCAGAACGGGTAATAATTAAGAAACAAAATTTGGCACAGTAATTTCTGTATAAGGGACATTGACACTATTAAATTTCGGTAATGAGAGACCAATGGGATAAAAAGATGAAATGGGATAAAGGTCACCTGTCATATCTCACGTAGGAGTCAGACTTAATGATTGCATTAATTATTGTTTGCATTTACAGTTTTTTTTATAAAACGCATCTCTAACCCAAAAATTATGCGTTTTGCAATTTTATAATAATTAAAAATATAGAAAGTTTTTCTAACAAAATCTCATAACAACGCCACACAAAATTTTATATCTATTATGATTAATAATATAAAAGTTATTATTTAAATAAATTCTAACACAATTCGTTGCTAGATTTTTTTTTTTCGTTAATTCTTATTTATTATTAATAGTTTACTGCTACTATAATCTATTAATAAGACTTATTACATTAAAGTAACGTCTAGAGGAAAAAGAGATTGAATTATTCTATTCGTTTAAAGAAGAAACGTTCTTTGTTTGCACCTGTTACATCACACTGTTGTTACATCAGTGTAAATACTATTAATAGATTACAGCCACAATAAACTAATTTAATAAGTAAAAAGTTCTTGTTAAATAAGACATTCTGAAATTTTTGGATATTTAAAAGTTTTTGTTCTTTTGAAATGAGAATTTGCTTTCTAGAAAGAAAAGGTTTGCTTTTGAAAAATACATAAAAACAAAAGACTTAAAAATGTTACAATTATTGTGGAATTTCAGTATTGAAATTAGATTTTCAACGAAAAGAAACATTTTTGCAATTCTTAAAATATAAATTTTTCAAGATCTTTTGCAAGAATTGATAAAATCTGATGATAAAGAAGATATTAAATTTTATATTTCTATTGAAATAAGAGGTCATACGTGGAATTCTTACTCCATCTGAATTTAACCGAATGATTTATTTCATCCTATAGTAAAATTCCTCCTTTAAATAGGTTATTGAAAACAGTTATATGTAATTCAACATTTTTACTATATTTAAAAGTAATAAATACATTAATTAATTTTATAAATTCTCATAAAAGGAATATTTACTTAATAAAAGGAAAACTAATAATTTTTTGAAATTTATATATAAAATAAAATATTCGCTTGTCTGTTCTCTATATATTTCTAAGTCCTTTGACAGATCTGAATTTTTCAGAATTAATCAGTAGAACCTTGCAGAAAATGTAAACTGCCATAAACTTTCATCTTCTATTAACTATTAAGCCCTTTGACTTTCTTGTTTATAAATAAAATAATAAATTAAATCAAAATAATTAGTATAATAAACCTAAATAATTAAGAGTATACATATTTTCCTCGTAATTTATAATTTTAACAGTACAAAAATAGCAAGTTAATTGAATTATAGTTATTATTCGTTTCTCTAAAAAAAAAACATTTTTTTACTATTTTAAACTTGTATAAAAATGTCAAATTTTAAATTTGTATTTATAAAATTTGTATTTGTATTTATAAAATTTGTATAAAGTTTAAATAAAAAAAATGAAATTATTTTTTTTATCATCAGGTAAATACTTTCGTAACTGCATTCCACGAAGCGGTGTTGTTATACTCTTTAGCACTAAATGAGACTTTGACTGAAGGTTATAGCATAACAAACGGTTCTATTATTACTCAAAAAATGTGGAATAGAACATTTGAAGGTAAGTCATTATTATTTTTCTGTTGAATTGTTGAATTCTCGCTTATGAGAATAATCTATTCTTATAGAAGCAAGTCGGATCCTAGTTCTATTTTTCTTCTAATTTCATTCTTCTGAAATTAGTTTTTCAGTTAAAAATGACAAATATAGTGTTCATATAATATATGAAATTCTATATTTCAGGTATTACTGGAAGTGTGAGTATTGACGAAAATGGTGATCGAAATGCCGATTATTCTCTTTTAGACATGAACCCGAAAAATGGAGAATTTGAAGTAAGAAATTGGATATGTACAGTACTTTCATTGACGTTTTTGTTAATTTTTACACCAAATATTCCTTCAATATATATTTATTTTATACATATGAAATGTTTTTTTTTTCATTTTATAATGATGTTTTACACGTCTCAAATATGTAAATTTTAAACTTTAAAATGAGCATTTCTGAATTCATATGGATACTTTATATTGCTATTATAATTTCAATTGATACAAGATTATATGACCCTCCAACAGGATTTTTACATTTTTGGACTTGGAGGATCTCGAAACATCGAGAAATGAAAAATTTCGGGTATTTTTTTTATATGTATGGATGTTAGTGTGTATGTGGCACGATTTTGTTTAACCCTATTTGAAGATTAATAACTCCTGTGCTTTTTGTCGAAAATTTCTGAAATTTTGCTAGGATCAGTGGGTATTAGGGGGATTGATACTATTAAATTTTGGTGGTTAAAGGTAAAGAAGGTCGTGTGTATTTCCAGTACGGTCATATTTAATAACGATTTTACTCGTTATTAGCATTTATAATTTTTTACAAAACCCATCCCTACCATCAAAATTAGGCTTTTTCTTCTATTTTATATTAATATAAAATATAAATTTTTTTAAAAAATAAAATATTATAATAAATGGCGCCAAATGCAGTTATGCATCGTAGGAGTATTTTGTATTTTCTTTATTTTATTTTTTCATATAACAATTCAAGAGAGTTACAAACAAACGTTGATAAATGATATAAATTCAAGTCTCTTATCAGAATAAATGATGCGAAAGTATAATACGAGTAACTAAAATAAATGATAAATTAAACACGAATAGAGAGCAGAGAAAAGGAAGATATACAAATTCTTATTAAAAAAAAAAAAATAGTGTGATGAAGATGATAGATTAATAATAACGTTACAATATATCTACTCTATAGAAGATTTCATTGATAAGATAAATATCTTCTTGTATAATCTAATAATATAAATCAATTTAAACTCTTGCTTAAAATATATTAGAACCTCTTCTTCATAAATAATATAAGAAAAAAAAAATCTATCTTCTGATTGAAATGTGATATCTTTGTTTTTATTTTTCTCGTCTACTTTTTTTAATTACAGGTCATATAACATTTTTCTCATCTGTATAATATAATGACCTTAGACACACACGATTTAATAATTCTAACTTTATGTCTGCACTCGTTCACAGTTCTTCAATTTACAAATTAAAAAAAAAAAAGAAAAAAAANATGTTTATTTAAATATTTTATTTATATTTCTATATTTTTATATTCCATATATGAAAAAACAATTATTTTTTTACTATTAGATAAAAAATGATAAATAATTTTAAAATTATAATTTGGTTATATTGTCAATAATAACTCATAAATGCAATTTATTACTTTAATTTTTATTAAATGTTTCTTATTTGTAAAGTGGGAAATATTTTACAGACAATTTTAGATGTAGAATATACTGTATTATAAAAATTATAGCGAAACCTCTGAACATTGGTCATTGAAGGTAACATTAAAAAATACAGCAGCGAGTTGTTTAACTTTCCCGGAAACTTTTGGTGGCGTCATCTGTTATCATATTTTATTAAAATATATTTTCATATTTTTAACTGTTATGAAATGGCAAAAAGCTTAATTTTGAGGTAGAGATGGGTTTTATAAATAATTATAAATGCTAATAACGAGTAAAATCGTCATTAAATATGACCTTTAATTTCTTCATCGCTTTAACTTGTAATTACTAAAATTTTATAGCATCAAACCCCCGATACACAAACCACCCTGCAAAATATCAGAAATTTTCAATAAAAACCTCGGGAGTTATTAATCTTCAAAGACTGTGAACAAAATCGTGCCCCATAAATACACACCTATACACACACACGCATACGCCCACACTAACATCCATACATACAGAAAAAAACCTTTAAATTTTTTGTATTTTTCAATGTTTTACGTTGTCCTGAGTCCAAAAACTTAAACGTCTTGGAGAATCATTTTTTAACCGATCTCCATACCTCTGTTATATATAAAAGTTGCTGTTATTCGGAAGTTATTTTGTATGCATTGCTAAAGATACATTCCTGAAAGAATGGCCGCCGTTTAGAGGTGGCCGTTATTGGAGGTTTAACTACACCTACATTATTTTTTTCCACCATCAAATCTTATTTAATTTACTATTTGAAGAAATAGAGAAATAAATCATTCAATGTCTTGTCCCGTATTCTCTCAAAGAATTCCAAATGTAAAACTATTTTAAAAGTGTTTTATATATAATTAAATTAGAATTGTTTATATTCGTTTATGCTGACCAAATTGATTTTAATTCATATTTATTAATATTTAAATAATAAAATTAAAAGTGAAAAAACGTTATTTCTAATTGGATCCATATTTAAATAATATTACAAATAATATTGTAAACAGAAGATTCTGTACTCGAAATAANATAGCATCAAAACCCCCGATACACAAACCACCCTGCAAAATATCAGAAATTTTCAATAAAAACCTCGGGAGTTATTAATCTTCAAAGACTGTGAACAAAATCGTGCCCCATAAATACACACCTATACACACACACGCATACGCCCACACTAACATCCATACATACAGAAAAAAACCTTTAAATTTTTTGTATTTTTCAATGTTTTACGTTGTCCTGAGTCCAAAAACTTAAACGTCTTGGAGAATCATTTTTTAACCGATCTCCATACCTCTGTTATATATAAAAGTTGCTGTTATTCGGAAGTTATTTTGTATGCATTGCTAAAGATACATTCCTGAAAGAATGGCCGCCGTTTAGAGGTGGCCGTTATTGGAGGTTTAACTACACCTACATTATTTTTTTCCACCATCAAATCTTATTTAATTTACTATTTGAAGAAATAGAGAAATAAATCATTCAATGTCTTGTCCCGTATTCTCTCAAAGAATTCCAAATGTAAAACTATTTTAAAAGTGTTTTATATATAATTAAATTAGAATTGTTTATATTCGTTTATGCTGACCAAATTGATTTTAATTCATATTTATTAATATTTAAATAATAAAATTAAAAGTGAAAAAACGTTATTTCTAATTGGATCCATATTTAAATAATATTACAAATAATATTGTAAACAGAAGATTCTGTACTCGAAATAATTTAAGTAATATAATATATTATAGGATTTAATTATAATATAGAATTTTCAATAAAATTTATTATAAATAATTTCATAAAATATGGACAGTTTTTTAATATAATTTTTCTAGAATAAAAACAGAAATATTTTTCTTGAAAGAATGTCGGTTGAATATTGCGAAAATGAAAGATTTTTCATGGCAGAAACTACTAAATAACATTTTCAATTATTATATTATTTAAATTTCTTTAATAGAAAACCGTTTATATTAAACCAATTTAATTTCATTCAGCTTGTAATTTAATTTAAAAGTAATAAAATTGGATAATTTATAGCTGTTACGAAAGTAACTGGCAGCAATCACGGATATTTTGGTGATAAGAAATATTAATCTAATTATATTAAATTGTTAGTTCTTGAATTATGTTTTTATTGATGATAATTATTTTCTGGCAGACTGGTTCTTGTATTCTATTAATTTGAATATTTCTTTTGATTTTATTATTTTTCTTATTCTTTCTGTTTTTGTGCAAATTATGAAAAAGTGATGGGAATTGTTTCTGTTCACTTTACTCTAATTCTAGTGTTATTGTGCTGCAATTTTCAGACTGTAACCCAATAACACTTGAATTAAAATAAAGTACATCTTACATTCTCGTTGTCGTCGGCCTGTTTGTCTGTCTGTTAATCTCGAGAATGCATTTAGATGGGTAAAAATCGAGACCAGATATGGAAAACTTGGCGGTAGACGACATCGATTAACTATATAAGAACTTCTGACCGGAAACGGAAGTCAAACGAGCGTTAGAGGTAATAAAAATTTGCAGCCCGGAATTGTGACGACGTCACAATAAATAATTTCTCATTAAGTATAAACATATTGTGTAAAATATACGCTATCGCTACAAATTTATATAGACACCAGTGAACAAAATAGAGTATTTTGTTTAAAGATCATTTTAGAAATAATTTTTTGCTGGATATTGGTAATAATAACACTAACTTATGAGTCAAACTGGAAGATACTGTATGTTACTTCACTCTACAAATACTCTAACAAAAAGTAAAAAGAATACACTAATGTTATCACTTGAGTTATCATTATATCGCATGAGATCTAAATTGAATTATTATTAATATTCAGCAAACAGTGGAGAAGTTAATTGATTAATATGTATAATTGTTCAAATACGAATCAATAAACACTACCGCACAATGTCTTCCGGGGTAATTTAATTGATAAAAATAGGGCTTGTACTGTTACTCGAAACTTTAAAACCAGGTCATTTCTCTTTAATAAAAAATTGGATGCTGATTTCAAAGATGCCATTGTTTAACTTAATACCATAGTAGATTTTAAGATACTGGCTATTAAATTTGAAGGAAAGACCAAAAAACTGCCTTCCACATTACATCCTCTATAGCAGAGTGATTAACGCAATTTCTGTTGATTTATTTTTCTTGCTTTTGTTTTCGTTTCTTTTTATTCTTGTAACATATGTAGGCTGCAACTGAAAAAATGCTTTCTTTCAAGCAGATTATTTTTAATATTTTATTAAAAAGAACTTTTTATATTTTTAATTATTATAAAATGGTTAAAAGCTTAATTTTGTAGGTAGAGATTGGTTTTATAAATAAATAAAAAATTGTAAATTCTGATAACGAGNGTCATTTAATTAGATAAATTACAAAACTATAATTGTTATATTTAGTTTATTTATTTTTTTATAAATGCATAATAAAAAGTATAAACAGTTTTTAATAAACTAATAACAATCAACATATAAACTCTAAATGTCAGCCATTTCCTCGCTGGAAAAAAGAAATAATATCGACAAAAAAAGAAAAAAATCATA